CAAAGAATAATAATTTTAGCATGTTCACGTACCTTTTGTTCAGGATTCTTCAAAGCATGCTATAAAATTGTGATTAGTCAAATTATACAATGCAATTAGCATCTTATAAAATTCTATTTTTCATTTGATTTCCCCATTGCAACGATTCTGAGCACACAGCAACCAATGTAACCTATGTGGAGTTACAAGTCATTCTCTGTAGGAATTTCAATTGTCTTGATATTCAGAATCAAGAGTACAGGACATTGTCATGTAAAATCATTGCTGGTACAAAATATACATAAATATATACATTTGCAATTAAGATTTAAAAATTCAAACTAAGAATGTTACCATGGTAACGGGTATAAACATTTTTAGCTCACCTGAAGCCAAAGGCTCAAGTGAGCTTTTCTGATCGAAATTTGTCCGTTGTCTGTTGTCGTTGTAAACTTTTTACAATATCATCTTCTTCTTCAGAGCTAATGAACCAATTTCAGCCAAACTTGGCATAGTGTATCCTTGGGTAAAGGGGATTCAAGTTTGTTCAAATGAAGGGCCACGCTCTCTTCCAAGGGAAGATTATTACAAATTAGTGAAAAATTAGTGGCATCTTTTAAAAATCTTCTTCTCATGAACCACTGGGCCAGCAAAGATGAAACTCATGTGGAATCATCCTCATGTAGTGTAGATTCAATTTTATTAAAACCATGACCCCCGGCAGTTTGGTGGGGCCACAATGGACGATCAAACATTTACACAGTAATATATAGGAAAAAAAATTAAAGATATTCTTTTTAAGAACAGCAAAGCCATAAGTATTCATATTTATATTGAAGCATCCTTAGGTGGTGTATATTCAAGGTTGTTCAAATCATGACTCCGGAACCAGAATGGACGATCAAAGTTTTACATAGGAATATATAGGGGGAAAAACAAAAATCTTCTTCTTAAGAACAGCAAAGCCATAATTAGTCATATTTATATGGAAGCATTCTTAGGTGGTGTAGATTCAAGGTTGTTAAAATCATAACCCCCGAGGGTAGGGTGGGGCCACAATATTGGACGATCAATGTTTTACTTAGAAATATATATAGGAAAGATCTTCTCAAGAACAGCAAAGCCATGATTGGTTATTAACTATTAGGAAGTATCTTAAGGTAGTGTAGATTCATATTTGATAAAAATCATGACCCCTTGGGGATATGTAGATGTCACAATTGATGATTGAAGTTATGCATAGGAATACATAGGACATTTAAAAAAAAAATTCTTGTTCTTAAGAAGAGCGAAGCTATGATAAGTCATATTTATATGGAAGCATCCTCAGATAGTGAAGATTCAATTTTGTTCAAATCCTTACCCCCCCCCCCCCCCCCTTTTTTTTAGGTGTAGGTTGGGAACACTTATGCAATATATCAATTTATGGATTAAGTAACAAAAACAAAATAAATCAAAGAGACAAAGAGGATACTTTTATCAGTCTGCTGTACATGTATAGCTAAAACAGACTAATGGTACTTTTGTATAGTACGAGTTACTATCATAGCAAGACCCCGATACACCCACATTTAGATTTATTGTCGTATTATCATTTAACAAAAGTTACTTTTGTTCATACTTTTGTTCATACGTCGACTGCATATATCCCAGTGAAATTGATATAAAAGTTACCGCCGAGTGTGAGACCTCTGGTTCATATTTGGATATTTAACTAGAAAAAGACGTTAATGGTAGCAACAAAATCTTTATGTATACATGATGACTTCAATTTTTCCATCGTCAATTTCCCTTATTGATGTAGCAATATACATTTGTCGTCTGCATATGGGGTTCATATCTCCCAGTTGGTTTGATATGCAGGAGCATGCTGCATGTATGAACAATTTTCAAAGCGAGACAAGCTATAGAAAAACATGTTCATGAAACAAGGATATCAACAGTCTCGTTTAATGTCATCATTTTTTTTCCAGTTTTATGGTCAATACAATGACCTTGTCAACAAATACAATCTATCAATAAGTCGAATGCTGACCGCTGTTTTTCATACTAATTTTTAAGCCATTTTTTAAACACTGTTTTTGTCTGATTTTTTTTCTGTTTGCTCGATCATAACAATGAGCACATGGCGGGTGTGACTGGTCGACAGGAGATGCTTACTCCTTCATAGTACCTGATCCGACCTCTGATGTTTTTAAGAGGTCTGTGTTTGCTCTGCTCCAAATGTGTATTGTTTCAATGGTTTGTTGGGATTGATTATGGTTCGTTTACCTCGTATTTTATACGATTAACAAATGCATATCCATAAGACACACACAAACACATATTCTCTAATATTCCAGACTACTTTGAACCCATTAGATATGGGATCCACAGACGACGCTAGGGATGGGTATCGGCAAAAATCAATATTTTTTCCAAAAAATATCACAATAAATCGTGATATTTTTACACACAATTTTTATAACAATTTCAAATGAATTTCCATAATATTTCTTAAAAAATAGCTATAAAAACATTACTTTTTAAATTTTTATTTATTTAATATAAAGCATGTGTGGATGCCGTTTAACTGTTTTTAACATTTTTTTAATACTTGTTTTAATTGTCATTCAATTGTTTGAACAAATAAACAAATAATAAACAAATAAATGAATAATTTTCGGAATTAATAGTATGTAACAAATACCGATATTTTAGTCTCCGTATCAGGATACGTATCACGCAATAAAAAATCGCGATATACCGGTTTACAGATAAAATCACGCATCCCTAGAAGACGCTTGCAGTGCTTAACAAACAGACTAGAGAAAATGAAATTAACATATTCTACAGATCGATGCATGCTGAATGTGCTCCGAGTATCTCTAAATGACAACGGCCATCATCTGTCCCTTTTTATAGCTCTGTGATGTTTCTTGCTGATGTTTCTTCTTTTTACAGGGAAACAAAGTAAAACAATGTCATGCAAACCCTGACATATTGTTTGACAAAAACATTACGATAACAAACCTTGTAAAGTTGACGACAAAGATCTGATGGGAAGGGATTCATAACATTTGTAGATGTTAATATATCAAAGTAAGGCAAGACACGTCTCTTAAAAAGACTTTGAAACAAGCACATTTCTAGAAGATCACAAAAGCGTCTTTAACTGTACATAGATCTTTCTGATGAGCACATCATCAAAGAATACATTGTAGAAAGAGTCACTATGATTAGAGAGACCTACCCCAAATTCTTAAAAGTTCTCAGTGGTGAACAAAAACACTTCAAAACAAAGAAATGTAAGACAAAATAGTTAAACATTTCCAACAATGAAAAAAATCCAATTAACCATAACCACCTCAAACTACTTCTTATTTTCTTTTTACACTGTTTAGGGTAGTGCCGTAGAAAAATCGCTTGACCTTGCTTGACGAGAAGTGTCTTCAAGAATGATCGATGGTATTAAGGAAATCTATAATTGACGCAAGCGGGAACTGCAGACCGAACCGATACCTTGGCCATCATCTCCACACTGGCTTATTTTTGAAGAGAGGAAACCATCTTGAATCATTTTTAAGTTCATAATGCAACTGATATCAAGTAAGTATATGAACGCTAAAACCAAAGGTGAAGAGCTTATTTTAACTCTAAAAATATTTGCTATCTATGACTGTAAGACATTTTGCTGGAAATATTGAACTTGTGCCTATGGTGAAACAAGTTTGCTCAATCCTACACCAGGACAATGAAACTGGAAACAGCAATGTGTAAAGCAGTAAGGACATTTGAAACAGTGTTTCCACTATACATCTTTTCTGATAACAATTTTATGTTTCAGGTGGGTTCAAATTTTTCTCTAAACATAGAGTCTCCGTCAGAGTCATAAAAAGACACTCTAATCAGGGCATCTTCTTCGAAGCGGTTTTTGGTAGGATCAAAACTGTATCTACGGAAAGTCATGCAAACACTGAAGTCTGGTAGTGGTACAGTCAAGCCAAAATCATTTAATACTAAATCATGTTATGTCAAAATAAATCTTAAAGCAAATTTTCATGAGGGAACCAATTAACCAGAATATAGCTTCGAGACACCTTTAATGGTTCCTCTGCAGAGAGGAAGGGAGTATAAGACTTGCTTGACTTGAAACTAAAACATTTCTGTCTTTTCAGGATGGTTACCAATGATCAATACATGTGATGCAGAAGTTAACATTAAATCCATCGTGGAGTATATGCCGTCACTCAATGTATTCATCAGAGAAATTCGACAGTTCAATACATCGTAGACACTTCTCCAAAGCCAAGTAAAGAAGATGAACAATCAAGTGCTTATGTGAGTTTGTGACTTTGACAAAGCCGTTACTATGAAGGCCTGTACTTTGGTCTGGCAGCACGTAGTCAAATTCTAAAAAGACATTGCTGGTCAGGATGGGAACATTCTATACCACCTGCCTCAACATTAAATAAAATCATTAAAATTCATGAAAAAAGCTGATAACAAATATAAGTATCAATCATCTGAAACTCTGATATATTTGAGTAGAAATTAAACCAAGACATGGCATCCTTGATGTTACCTTGAAATTATTTTAAGGTTTGAAATCAGTATTTGATAGGTTAAGGTGTTTAAGAATATATATCACTCACAAACGCCAAAACGAACAATGGTATCATTGCTTAAAATATTTCTTATACAATGTAGGTTAAGGTAGAATTGATCTACAAAATTCCCTCCGAGACGGTAACAGACAAGATTTTGGATACGAAACTAAAAGTAAAGGAAAGGTAAATACTTCACAAAACTCTTTAATACGCTTAAAAATGGACGTGACCTAAATATAGTTATTTATTCGTGATTTTGTTTGGTTATGTTTATTTAAAGGGAGAGGGTCTTGGAAGAAGGTGAGAGGATAAGAAGAATGGAATATACTCGTATGACCAAAATTCATATGATAATTTTCTACGTAAAGAGTATGCTAATTTTACGCAAATGTATATTACGTCCGTCGAAAACAGAGGGCACATTGTTCTTACCAGCTGGTCTTTATGGGAGGCAATAAGGATTACTGGGTGAAAATGGATATTCTCCATGGCGTCTTTGATAGCTGTAGTGTCTTTCGGATCCCCTTGTATTATTCCTTCATTGCAATATGTATTTATAGTTTGCAGCCAAAAATGGAAGTAGTCTTTTAAAAAAAAAATAGATAAATAAATATATTTTCAACGAAATTGATTTGAATAATATTTTATTCAAAAAAAGTTACATATTCATGAATTGCCTTTCTGTTACTGGCTTGGTATGAAGAAGATAAGCAATCATTACATATTGTGATAGTAGTTATATCTGCTTATTACTATTCACGTAATCACATAACTATCATAATAAAATTATTCCCTGATCTCTTTTTGAAGCATATGAAAAAGAAAGTGCAATTCTGAGATGGAAAAAAATATAATATAATGTTAGGTGATTCTTTCTGATGATAAAACATAAACTGATAATAATTATAACATTTGAGGAATTATACTCGCTTGATTATTATCATCTTTGTTTATCCTTTTGAATAGGTGGCTATTCAAAAAAAAAAAAAAAAAAAAAAAAAAAAAATGGTCAGTTGGCAATATGGTATCAATATTTTCCAATCATCCTTAATATTTTCCTTACTTTAACCTAAATTTTCTTTCTTGTGTTTCTTTTTTGAGATTTTGATGTACATAGTTCATTTTTCACTACGGTGTTAAATTAATTGTGTAAATTCATCACCCTTTACATCGAATTATATTTTGTAAATACAGGTAAGATACAGTATAACATTTACAATGTTATTGTTTCTTGTCGTACTATTCATTGGCATTGCTTGGGGAGTGTCAAAATGGTTTTCTTTTTCAATGTTTACAACATACCTCGTTAGCAAAGATTTTCACACAGCCCCTCTGCAAAATACTTATTTCATAAATAGAAAAGACAGACACACGAAAAAGAGATATTCCTAGCGGTAGGGTTTATGATTTCACTAATTAAAAAAAAAGATACGTAAATTTTAAATTTCTTTTGTTATTTCTTACCTTAGAAAATATAATCAAATTAATTAAAATTTATAATTGTTCTTATTTAGGTAGGGAATCGGACCAACTTAATTAAGGACATCTGAATCTTTTAAAGCTTAATTATTAAAGTGTTTTTCACCTCCATAAGTCCAGGAGTGAAATAAGGATCCAGTTGGGTCATGGCGATCTGTGTCATGCATTCGACTTTCTTCCTTAAGATTTTTGGACATGTCGATTACCACGATATAGAATGCTCTCCTTGACAGGTAAACCTGATGACATGCATAGTACGCCACTTGTCCCGCAAAGTCTGTCATGCTTACCACATTGTTGTCAAGATATTGGTTTTCACTATTTGCCTTCCTGGTACTAAAATCTGATTGAGGACAGAAAAGCAAAAACACATAATTCAAAAATAAATAAATAAATAAATAAATAAATAAAATAACTTACTTAGTATATGCATGACAAAACGTCTTTAAACGTTTCAAGAAACTTCATTAATAAGTTTCAACTTTTTGGTCGTAGGTCGTATATTTCCTTTTAGGCATCCACAGTTACTTCATTAAAACATAACTGATGCTAAACGGTTAAAAAGTGGTGGTAGAACGCAATCATTGTTTTAAAAGTTGATTGCGGTCACCTCATGTTGCTTTCAAGATTCTTGAACCAACGTACAAAACGTATAAACGAATGAATACACACAGGTATACTGTACAATTATCAGTCATTTACAGTAAAAACAAAGACCAATTTACTGACTTTTCAGTCGTTTCAGTGGCGAATTAGAACCCTGTCGAACGCATTCAAATCACATAAGAGACTGTTTATGCATTTTTCCAACGTAAAACTGGGATTGTGCACTAGTTGGATAGCGTATAGTCTTTTGAAATTCAGGTCTAGAGGATATCAACAAAGTAGAATAGTTAATTATTGGAAGATTAGCATACGAGTTCTGTACATTAGGCATGCAAACACATACCTACAGTACACTAATTATCAACTTATCATCGTTCACTAGGCGAACTCCTTCGTCCCTAACTTCCTAAACAAATTTCTAACAAACTTCATTACACACCACCGATACTAAACACATTCAAAAAACTGAAAACGACAAAGAAGAAAGGAGGGGGAATCGATTGAAATAATCGTCGCTGTATGATGCACGTTAGTACTATTTGGTAAGACCTGTCTCTGTTATACGTTTTACATAAACTCGGAAGATTCAATTTTTGTGAGAAACGAAATATCACCTATTAACTTGTTGTCTTCGATAACAAACAAATCTTCATGGACCTCAAGACCTATAGTTGTCTCAGTTTGCTTATCTACATCTGTTTTCTCTCTTCCTTGAAGCCTTCTAAGAAGAGTTGTTTTTCCTGCTCCTGCACACCCAACTATCATACCTCTGGCGCGAAACATTTTCACGCTTTCTTGCTTGGAGTTCTTCACAAACCTTTTTCTAGCATTGATATCCCATCTTAATACTTCTTCAGGTATATTTACTGGATAAAAAAATAAATGCCACACTTAACATTCTGCTAAATGTTTATATAAAATATTATGAGCAGACAAATGTCACTGCTTTTTAAGAGTGCAAAATAATGAGCAAACAAATGTCACTGCTTTTTAAGACTGCAAAATATTCAACTTCTAATTTTTCAACAATTAAAACAAAACAAAACAATTTAAGTAATAATAATACATTATACATAGAATCACTTTTTGACGAATGAGAAATGGCTTTAAAATGTAATAATACTATTCATATAAATATGTACGAGCAATTTTATTAAATCTACATAATATTGCATACTTTCTAGACAGAAATCAGTAAATTGAGATAAAAAAATGTAAAACTACCAAGAAGGTCAAGATAAAAATTTTGATTCAACTTTTATACCAAGTTGAAAATAAAGCGTGGTTTGCTGTTGAATGAGAAGAATATTGGTGAACATGCCATAAAATATGAACATAATAAAAGAGAAATATGAGTGGAATTTGAGTTGTGTGTAAATCAAATAAGGTACCAATTTTAATGTTCCAGATGCGCATTTCGACAAATTATGTCTCTTTAATTTATTCCTATTTCCTTTCTACTTCCTGCTTAGTCAGTATAATGATGCAGTTAAAGGCCGGGTTAAATGAATTTAAATCAATGTTTTAAATGTGTAGTACATGCTCACGTTAAATGCCAGAAAGGTTGCCACCAACAATCCATGAGAAATTTACATGTTATCTATGCGAAAAGGCATTTAAACAGTTAGGTAGAAAACATGAAGGGGCATCGTGAATTGTTTAGAAATCGACCTGCTACAAAAGTATTATATCTTTCTGATGTCTTAATCTTTATTGATGTCATAATTGATTGATTGTATGTTTTACGTCACGTTCGGGAATTTGTTACTCATCTTGAGACGTAACCATATACCGTTAAAGGGCTTTATATTTAGGCCTTTGATTCTTGGCACTCATGATCAGGGCACTGAGCTGTGGGAGATCTTCATCGTGTCAACGCCTGCCGTGACACGGGGCCTAGGTTTTTTAAGTTCTCATCCGATAGACCTGAACCTTTCACTTTAAAGTACCAAACTCTCGGCAAATGAACAGTTGCTACCTATTTTTTATTGAAAGATTATCAAATATAATTTGAAACATTAATAAAAATAGGTTCAAAACATAACCAAAGATTGAATGTTTTATTTAATGACTTGAATAAAGACCAGTCATCGGTTGACGCTTTAAATATTGAAAGAGTAAAACGACTAATATACCCTATGAAGACCAGTAAAAATCAGACAAAATTAGTATGATTGTTTGTTGTTTGATATTTGACTTGCAATCGACTTTCACTTAGGCAAACATATATAACACTGAAGAACATGGAATCGGGAGGAGGAGCAGGGGGTGGGGGGGATGCTGGGGGCTACCCCTGTCTATACTTTTTTCTGAACGTATATTTTAAATTTTCACTTTTAGTTTAAGAAAAATAGGTTGCCCCTTTTTCCTTTGACTTTAACACCCCCTTCCTCCTCCTGTCGAAATTAACTGAATTTATGCTTTGGCGATTTCTCCTCTCCTTTTTTTGGTGGGGGAGGGTGCTACTTAAAGATATTTATAAAAATTTATTAAAACAGGTTATGTAAATTCTCCGCTTCTCTCATCTCGTTTGGATAGGAATTCAACAAATGTAAAGTAAGATGGCATGGCATTATCGAGCTTGTGTCATTTAATCGATGAATCATATAATGAAACAATCGTTGCTGTTTTTTTTCCCTTCAATACGATGTAGCAATTGTTTATTTGAACCTCTAGGATATTTTCCTTTTTGTGCCATTTTACAAAGGGTATAACTTCAGATACTTTTACTGTTTTGTTTGTAAATAGCTTAATTTTGACAAGAATCTCGATCCGATTTCGCTGTTTTAAATTCTGAATAAGATTATCATGACACCTTGATAATTTTTAATGCGAACTTAGTGTAAAAATATTCCTACGTAATTTGAATATAATATGACGTTAAGTAAAAACGTTATGACAGAAGTTCGCAAGCTTTCCGAAAAGCCCTCACATCTGAGATGCTCAGTTGAGAGTAGTACATGTATAACATATATTAGTGGAGATATAATAAGGTCATATGATTACATTATATAATGACTTTATAGGGAAAATATGGTGTTGTGAATGTGTAACGATTACGAGGGGTGATCAAAAAGTTCGCAAACTAATTGAATTACTTCCTTAAAAGAAATAAGATGAGGTTTCAGTGCTCATTATTTTTTTAAGTAGTCCTCTCCGATTTTAATGCACATCTGCCATTGTACTATGTTCTGCCCATGCGCGAATCACGTGATCCAGGCGGTCACGTGACATGCTTCGAGGCGTTCTGTTCACGGAAGCTAAAAGATTCTTCCGAGTCTTATATTTCTTACTATGCAAGTTATTTTTTATAACAAGAACAGTCCATCTGTCAGAAATGGCCAAATCTCGGCAAAAGGATGGGTGGATAAGGACATCCCTTCCCAGAATTAGCATGGTGATCATCAAAACCCGAGTCTTCTGTCTCGGGAGCGTCGTTTACCCAATGTTGATAAAGTATGGGCGACCTCTTTTTATCATATCTCATATGTTTAAAGTCTAAAGTAAACGATATTTTAGAGATTTAATAATTGTATTATTGTTAAGATATTCAATTTTTTTTTCTAATTGTAACTTGGCGATCTTTCAAAACAAATTGCTCAACTAAGGACACATCTTTTCCCCGGCTTGCTTTCGCTGGGCAACAGAACAAACATAATTTTTAACTATCTCCCTGCCTTCACTAAAACAATCAATGCAATTAATGATTGAACTTCTGTTAAGTCTTTTGTCTTCATAAATATTGTACAAATTGTCATATTCTACTCCAAAGGAATTTTCAAGATATACGTTAAACTTTACAGTCGTTCGTTGCTCGAGTACGACTGAGTCAACCATTTTTCGTCACAAGTCACCTACATATTGTCGTTATTTTGATGTTGTGACGTCACAAACACGGAGCAAAACATTATATAACACCTGCTATTTATAGAATATGTGTATGATTATATATGTGCCAAATTGCATTCTGATCCGAATTGTAGTAAATATAGAGATAGTTCGCGAACTTTTTGATCACCCCTCGTACTTTCATTTAATTTACGTATGTAGAATTTTAAAAAAAAATCATTAATTTTATTTCATATATAATTAATTATTGCTAGTCATGACTTTTTATGCTTTATTGTTTATGGTTGTTTAATATGTTTTTTGTATTCTTAGAACTGGAAGTAAGTTAAGAAAGTCTAATTCATCTAACAGATTAAGAAGGTATAATTATATAAGATTTAATAGAGATTTCAGTTATTTGTGTAAACGAAGGTTAAAAGAAAAAGATAAGAGAACAGTTTGTACGATGACACAAATGCAACAGGTCAGATTGATATTTAGGATTATGATGGAATAAGAGTCAGTTCTACGGTTTGGTCACTTGATAGTAAATCTCTGTAAATATTTTTGATGTAGAATACATGCATATGTATTTCGATATCTGTTAGATTTTTCTATGTGACATTCTTCCTTTGTCTTTTTTTCAGTCTAATGTATTTGTATCGTGTTATTGATGTGTCTGTTTATCAAATGTGAAATCAGTAAAGCAGAGTTCTACATGTATCGTCAGAAAAGGATAAAGCACAGACGCCACAAATGCATTGTTTATAGCAATACAGCTGTAGAAATACAAACAAGTGATTGTAAGTACTAAAATACATTATTTAAAATGGGTACTATTTTCTTCTTTTTTCATCTTCTTCTGATTTATTGTAACATTATCAAAAATTGATATATTTTTACTTACAGATATAAATACTTACAACGTTTACTGATACTATCATGAATTCCCCTGTCAGACACGGTACAGTGTGTGATGATGTCCAGCTGTAGTTTGTCTATGAAGTGGTTATACATCTTCTTCGGTCGGTCCGGTACGTACAGACATCTCTCTCCCTCACTCCTCTTATAATTCCAGGACCTGCAGTATTCTGACACCACACAATATGACGCCGTTGTCAGGAAAAACTCCAGATCACTGTCCTCCACCAGACACTCCGTCACAAAGGCATACATGACGTCATGTCTGATTTTTGCGGAATCAATCTTCATAAAACTTCCCTTTCTATCAATAATTCCCTCCGTAATACGGTTATCTGTTAAGTTTATTTCGTCACTTGAAGGTAGGTCTGTGTAATACCTTTTTCTCATTTCCTGGAACAGTGTTTTGTGAGTTTGTTCATTGATATCAAGAGTATAGTCGTCAACCAACAGAAGACAGTACAGAAGACATCTTATATCAGATGGATAGGTGTGGTATTTACCTGAAAATTAAATTAAAAGAAAACCCACTATTAAATAAATATTTAGCATTTTGTATTATTTTTGCAAAATAGAATTTAAATGATGAAATTTCTATTCTATTTGGAATTTTTTGAGACCCACCTACAACAAGAGTGTTAGGTTTTGTTTTTTTAGAGAGAAAATATTAAATGAAAACATTTCACATATTAAATGTGCACATAACAGGAATCATAATCACATGTTTTATTACGCCTATTTATTTTATATAAATGAACATGTACATGTCTGGTGAATTGATTTTCTTAATATACTTGAATCAGTAGGTTGATGTACATGTATCATGAAAATTTAAAGACATTTATCTATGGTTGCGGGTAGTATAATTTGTCTGGACGACGCGTCCCCTTTTTCTTTATGCTTACATGTGAATATGCTTTTTATCTACAACTAGAACACTTTTAAAAAGTAGTTTGACTGAAAACCATGAAAAGCTATCAATTAATTTAAGTACATTGATCCATACGCAATACATTAGGCTGCTAAAAGTTAATTCGACGTTTAACTTCACCCGCGCGAGTAGAAAAACAAACAATTCGGAATTTTAAGTATCTGTTCCGATTTGGTTTTACATTCAACGTTGTTTTGCATCCTGTAGTGAAAGAAAATGTGCTGTGAAATCGCAGTCGGTGTGTTTTAAGAAGAAACTGACGTAAACAGCATGCAATCATAAAATAAAACATGGATGGTTTTATATTGAAGTTTATGAAAATGTTTGGTGATTGCTTTTTGTCAATAGTCAGATACTTTACTTCTGTCTAATTGATCAAAAAGGTTTAAATTACATACAAATCATAATTACCCATTTTAACAGCATAATAAAATTCTCAAAAATGCAGCGCATATTGCTTTAAGAGAATAATTTATTAATGGAACACTTAAACTTGATAATGAAATGACCACGTAATTTAAATATACTGTGAAATTACCGATAGAAAATCGCATGAAAATAAACGCTTTGAATAAAAGACCTTTACAGTGCATTTAATTTCATATAATGTTGATGTCCCTGCTTTTAAATTTAATGAATGGAGAAAAACCAATTGTTTCTCTTTTTTTTGGCAAACTTTAATTAAGATAGCTCTTATTGAAAAGAGGATACTACAATCATGTAAAAATGTTAAGGTAAGTGTAATTTAAAAAAGGCAAATAAAGATATTTTCTTTTTTACCCCGCTCATGTTAAGAAGTCAAAGATATCTACGAAACATCTGCGAGAAGACGTATAAACCGAGGTCCTGCGTTGCAGTGGGTGCTGACATGAGAAATATCATATATTATATACTGGGCACAAGAGAACAGTAGGGGCCTAAATACATGTAGACATGCATATCTTATTGTCTGACGTCATGGCGTCAGAAGTACTAGATTTAGCCAAGGCTTTTTGGTCAATTCGTTCAATAGAATTCTTTTGATTACTCCATCTTGGAAACTTTATTCTTACTTAACTATCAATTGGAGATCATGGGAATTAATGGAAACATGATAAACAACCAAGCAAGCTATAGAGCATTAGACCTATTTATTACCACATTATACATTACAAAACATTTGACCATTTTCGAATACACCATTTATCATTCATCAGTGAATCTCCAGCAAAACATCAGGAATGAAACTGGTCAGGTCAACACTTGTCGAATATCAGATTAACAAATAGATATTTATTTTCAATGCATACACAGTCTTTCTACCTTTAGAATTTTTAAAGTCTAAACTGAGGTATTCCTAACTTTGCAGACGTCTGATTTATTCATAGTTTAAAAATAATCCAAGTGAAAGATAGAGGATGAACAATGTTTTTACTAATATGCAAAGATATTAGATCATTTATAACAAGTTTATTATTTAAAAAAAAATCATATTTATCCAAACTGTTCACCAAATGATGTTTTAGATTTTTATGTGTTGTTAAGTTTTTCTTTCAAAAGCAATGGTTATATCTATGTATTCATGAACAGGCCATGAGAGTGGAAGAAATTTCACCGGGAGGGGGTGCACAACCAAAAATTTTCAGTTGGGGACACTATCAAGAAAAAAATTCCTTATCAAGCAAAAAGAATTTATTATGTTTTATTATTTACATGATTTAAGGGAAAAGTAAAAAGAAGCTATGTTTTCTGAAGCATTTTATTTATCGGCAAAATATTGGTCCAGAGTCGTCACCATCCTCTCCCCGGTTTCAACGGCTATGAAAATTACAAATTGGAAATCTTTCCAGTCCACAGTGTAACAATGTAAATGTGATGGGACTTTTTAACCATACACAGAGACGTAAGCGTAGTCATGGGCATCGGTCTTACAATAAACCTTTAATACACGATGTCTCTTTTGATTCATTACTACCTTACGTAAATCAACAGTTAGGTCTACATCATATTCGCACCAAACTTTACTCTGTCCCTTTGAAACTTTTAAATAGTCTTCTTGAAAAGGTCAAGGAAAGTCCATTTTTTGATTTCTCGACACCAAAATATAGGCTTGGATCTGTAATTATGGATATTGCCAATCATAGGCTTTTTAAACCCCCGCGTTTTACTGAAGAAAATGCAGCTAAAACAATCCGTTTTTTTCCTTAAACTTCAATATGCCAACAAAGGAATTGACGCAGTTAATATAAGTAATATTCTTAATCACAAAAGGGTCCAGTCTTGTATTACACCATATTTCAAGTTAAAGACTCCACCTTGTATTTCCTACAAATATATAGTGTACATCGACCATTGCTTCCAAACTTTTTAATTACAAGAAAACTTTACAGGGCCTTGATATCGAGTATCTGAAGCATAATCCTCCATCGTGTTCATGTTCTTCTTCGCCCTATAACTATAGTCCTGCTGGACACGTTATCTTTGGTGACGTAAATATAGTTAATAATGAGGACCTTAGATCACTTATTTTAAAAGATCCTAAATTTAGGGAACCCAGATCCTTCAACTGGCGTCGGAATTTCATAAATATTATGGATTCTGTATAGGACTACGCCAGGCGATGGACCAGACATGAAAAAGAAGACCTTGACACTTTGTCAGAATGGATTAAATGTATCAGATGTATGTTAAAATCGCGCATTAAAAGATTGAGAGGCAATATGAAAACCATCTATCCTTCTGTATTCAATAATCCAGAGGTGAAAAAAGAATTAGATAGATTACATGATCAATACGTACTGGTCCCTGCTGACAAAGCATGTAACAACACTGTCTTTGTTTGTAAGGCTCATTATATTAGATGTATTTCAGAGGAACTTGGATTTAATTCTACAAGTGTTAATCCAACTTATACTCATAGTTCCCTTTCTAAGAAAAAAATTCTTTAAAATCATATGTCAGTTTTGAATATTTTTAATATTCCAAACAACCAAATTGAATTTGAATTACCATATTTATATTGGATTCCGAAACTTCATAAAAATCCTTACAAACAAAGATACATAGCGGATTCCAGTAAATGTTCAACCAAGCCACTATCTTTACTCCTCACTAAGATATTAACAGTGGTGAAGGAGAAACTTCAATAGTACTGTGCAACAATATATTCGAGAAGTGGTGTAAATCAGATGTGGATACTTAAAAATTCCAAGGAACTTTTGGAAAATTTGAAATCACAAGATTTTACCAAAATCAACAGCTTAAAAATTTATGACTTTTCAACTTTATACACAACCATTCCCCACGATAAATTAAAGTCCAGGCTTTTTGATATCATTGACAGCTGCTTTTTCAATAAAAATGGAACTCGTAAATATACTTACCTTGTCATTGGTCATTCGCAAAATTATTTTGTTAAAAAACATTCTGCTTGTTCACACAAGTACTCTGAAGTTGACATTAAAAAGATGCTTGAGTTTCTGATTGACAATATCTATATAGTTTTTGGAGACCAGGTCTTCAAACAATCTTTTGGAATTCCCATGGGTACCAGTTGCACCCCGTTATTAGCAGACCTTTTTTATTCATGTGAAGCAGAATTTGTCCAAAATCTTGTACGTGAAAAGAAGAAAACAATTGCTGTGGCCTTCAACTCGACATTTAGATATATCAACGACGTATTGTCAATTAACAATGGCTATTTCCATTCTTATGTCGATACGATATATCCTGGTGAACTTGGGATAAAAGATACCACAGAGTCTGACACATCTGTTTCATATTTGGATATTTTACTTGAAAAAGACGTTAATAGTAATCTAACAACCAAGCTTTATGATAAACGTGATGACTTTAACTTTTCAATTGTCAACTTCCCTTACTTATGCAGCAATATACCTTCATCACCTGCATACGGGGTATATATCTCTCAGTTGATTCGATACGCAAGAGCATGCTCTACGTATGTACAATTTCTAAAACGAGGTAAATTATTGACAAATAAGTTGATGAAACAAGAATATCAGCTGTCTCGTTTAACGTCATCATTTCGTAAGTTCTATGGTCGATACAATGACCTTGTCAGCAAATACAATTTATCATTGAGTCAAATGCTGACTGACGTTTATCACACTAATTGTTAGGCCATTATTTACACACTGAATTGTCGACGGATGTTTCCGTTATTTCCCGATCATGACAAGGAGCACACGGCGGGTGTGACCGGTCGGCAGGTGATGCTCATTCCTCCATGGCACCTGATCCCACCTCTGATGTTTGGAGGTCCGTGTTTGCTCTGCTCTTATTTTGTATTGATTAATGGACTTTTGAGCTTGAATACTGTTCGTTATCTCCATATATTTCATTACAAGTAATTCAGTGTATATAGAATATACGATATTCCTGTCTGAGTATGATGTTGACGCCACTGGATTGGTCAGTATTGTGTCTTAGAAAAATAATATATTTCTGACTCACAGTTATGTTGGTTATGTTGTATTTAACTTTTCTTAAAGTAATAGTTCAATAATAAATTTGCTCACGTCAGACAAACGTTTTAAGAAAGCCAATACTTTCCACACTAATAATCACGGTCTTCAACAGTTGATATTACTTATCGTGCTTGCACTCTGTAAAGGAGAAAGGCCAAAAACTGTCCATTCTGTGAGAGAAAGAACTAATCGAGGGCCGTAGACCCGAGATTAGTTCTTTCTCTCATAGAATGGACAGTTTGAGGCCTTTCTCCTACTTAAAACATGATTTCCTTTGTTTTGAAAATTAAATATAAAATGTACAAAATGACAGGTAGCATACATACAATGGCAAGTTCATTGTTTACGGAATGGACAGTCACAGGTAAGCTAGGGATGCAGAGCAATTTGTTGAATAAGCCATTGTGATTCCAGATGCAACAACAAAAGGTTTTTGTCTTAAGAATGGACAGTTACAGGTGGATATTGCAGGATACTAGTATTTATACAAGTATGCGATGCTTCAAAATCAGTTTACAGTTTGCATTGTAAAGGTATACATGTTTTCCTGTGATGGAGAGAGTATATGACAGAATCAATATCTTAAAAACCAAAATATGCACAAAATTAGTGATATTTGGATCTGGAAACAGAAAAGGAAGATTAAAAGAAATATTAGCCAAATTTTGACCCAAAAGTGAACTTCGACAACAGAAACAGATGATCAAATTCAAATCAAACCTGGAAATGTTTTATTTGAATTCTATTTCTGAGGATATATTAACTGCAGCAGTGTAATGGTGAGATGAAAGTTGTGTTCTGAGTGTTGGATTAGTCATGAGTCAATCTTCGACCTGAAATGTTTTTCAAATCAAATCGGGAAATGTTTCATTTTTATTTATTTTCTACCGTAATTAATATTGACTGCAGCAGTGCAGTGTTCATGGTGCAAACTGTTTTCCGGGTG